TTATGAAATAATTAACCAACGTTAACATTATAATCCGGGATTTATTGGGTATCAAAATTCCAACAGCCCCCATTCGAATGAATTTGGATGCTCGAAGGAATTTCGACAAATTGTTTGCAGAATTTATCAAGCATTGACAAGGATTTAACATTTAAGCACTAATGAAATCCTCCAAAACTTGAGAATACAAAAAAGATGAATATTATATAAAATAAGAACTTTGAATATTTTGTAGAATGAAATTATGATCACAAGTGTTTTCTTTTATGTTTTCTATCATTTCCATTAATCCACAATCATCGATTTATAGCCATCATCAAAAGCTACACGAAGTGGTGTCAAAATATATGAAAGGCCATCGGAATTTCAAACAAAAATGGCCACTAACAGCTAGAAAATTGCTCTATGTGACCTCATAGAACATCTAAAGGCAGGCAACAAATTTTTTGTAATTGGCCATGCGACCCCATGCGAATATGGCCTATACAGTTGCATAGGCCAAGTTTTGCCCTTCAACATCCACTTTTCATTCCACACAATTTTTATTAATTGTTGAACAATATTCCAACAATCTTCCACTTGTTCAAAATTCATAAAACATCATATTCAAAATATGCAATACTTATGCATGAGGATTAGATATCTTTCAATTTAAATCTAACTATAGTGTAATTCAAATAAAGTAGAGTCAGAATCAAAGGTAGCATTAAAGTTTTGAACCAGTTATTCCATGTGACAATACCAGTAAGAACACACAAACAAGTATCACGCATTCTAAAGTTCCTCAATCTCGTTTAGCGCAAAAAATATGACTTTATGCTCATCCTTTTCGACAAACTTTTAAGAGAGAAACTATAACTCTCTATTAAGGCGGCACCACCTCGTAGTTCATTTAGGTCAAGTTCTTCTAGTATCTTTGTTATTTTTAGAGATACTTGTAAGTAGTACTGAACTTCATTAAGAGCTTGAAGTTCAACCCTCATTTTAGTAACAACCAGCATTATTTAATTAGAATAGAGTTATCGCAGATTTATAATGTTGAAACTATTCACATATCGAATGACTTGTTGTTACTCTTTAAATCCGTAGATTACTTGTTAAGTGATGACAGGTAGGGTTGCCATTATTAGTGGATCTTTTATTTCAAGAGTTTCAACCCCATTTTACTCAAAGTAGATGTTACTAAATCTCTATTTAGAGGTTTAGTTAAACGATCCGCTTTTTTCCTTATGTAGTCATGTCTAAGACTCCTATGTCTAGACTTTCTATTGTATACTTCGTTGTATGTTTTTGTTAACGTGGCTTGACTATCACATATGATAGGTATTGAAGATGTGTTTTTCGATCCTAAAGGTATCTCATATAGTAGATCTTTAAGCTACTCAGCTTCTTTCCCAATTTTTATAAAGGTAAATTCAAATTTTATAGTTGAGTGTGTTATACATGTCTGTTTCTTTAATTTCCAAGAAACAGCTCCTCCTCCAAAGGTAAACACCTAAACTAAAGTAGATTTACTTTCTTCCGCACTAGATATCCCACTAGCATATAGAAATCCTTTTAATATAGTTGGAAATCTAGTATATAGTAGACCTAAGTTCTTCATTTTCTTTAAGTATCCAAGAACTCTTCCACGATTCGAAAATGTTTCTGCAATTGTTTCAAAGAATAATCTTCAGAACTATACATAATCTTCTTTCAATATCCCTTCCAAGTTTCCAAGAGTTTTGCAATAATTGCTCCTACTTGGAAAGTTTTCGGGATTTCAATCTTGATTGCCTTCAACTTGTCGATAAGGACTTGCAACTCATGTACTTGGAGAAGAAGATGAATGTTATCAAGAACTTAAATTCAAAGTACTTTGAAATCAAAAATTTATTAGTACCTTCTTCGACTTTGTACTTACTTTTCAAAACGTTCCAGATTTCTTTTGTCAAGGATGTGCTGGTGTAAAGATCATACAATCGATCGAACAATACATTGAATATATGGGCCCGACATATGAGTTCATCCTCTTGGCGCTTTTATCTTTTGGCTTTTATGGCTTCGATTTCTCCACTAGTTGGTTTTGGTAATGATGCTAATTCTGGATCTCGTATGTAGAATATCTTCAACGCC